ATAATTAACTAAGATAATTAATTAATGAAATATTTAAATAAGAAATTAAAATAAATACTAATTCTTTTATTTAAATAAGTGATTAAATAAATAATTAAATAAAGTAATTAAATTTTAAATACATAAAACCAATTAAGATAATTAATTAATGAAATATCTAAATAAGAAATTAAATTAAATATTAATTTTTTATTTAATTAAGCGATTAAATAAATTATTAAACAAAGTAATTAAACAATAAATAAATAACATACATAACTAATTAAGACAATTAATTAAAGAATTATTTAAATAAGATATTAAAATAAATATTATTTTTTTTTATTTAAATAAGTGATCATTTGAATAAAGTAATTAAATATTAAATAAATAATATACATAACCAATTAAGATAATTAATAGAGAAATATTTAAACGAGAAACCAAATTAAATATTAATTTTTTTATTTGAGTAGGTGTTTAAAATAAATAATTAAATAAGGGCCAATTAAGATAATTAATTAATGAAATATTTAAAAGAGAAATCAAAATTAAATATTAATTTTTTATTTGAATAAGTGTTTAAAATAAATAATTAAATAATTTATTAAATATACATAATCAATTAAGATAATAAATTAATAAAATATTTAAATGAGAAATTAAATTAAATATTAATTTTTTATTTAAGCAAGTGATTAAATAAAGAAATTAAATATTAAATAAATAATATACATAATCGATTAAGATAATTAATTAATGAAATATTTAACAAGAAAGTAAATTTAATATTAATTTTTTTAATTTGAGTAATTGTTTAAAATAAATAATTAAATATAAAGTGAAAAGTGAAAATTGTTTGATTTTTTAATTTGTAACTTAAGGGTATTTTTGTCTTTTGAAACAAAATTCTATCTTTGTAATTGTATAAACTACTAAAGGACAATTTTGTCTTTTACTCAATAAAAAGCTATTTTGGTGATAGGCAAAGGTTTTTGCTTAAAGTGAAAAAATGCCACTTTGACTTGGCCAAACTAAAAATTACCCCACTCTGCCTGCTATTCTCTTCGGTAAGAACTCGAAAAAAGTCATCTACTCGGGGTAATTTTTAGGGTCTATAAAATAAATAATCAAAACTCAAAAAAAATAAAATAAAATAAAACCTTATTCTCAAATTTGAAGAATAAATTTTTTATCAAATTCACATTCTGTTATCAAATCCTTCATCTGTATTAATTTACTAATGGGATGTTTGAGGCCAAATAAAATTTTTTTTTTGAACAAATCAAGATTTATTAATTCATTTATTTCATAATAAATAAATAAATCTTGAGGGGGCATTTGTAGAGATAAAAAAAATAATAAATAAAAGAAAATAAATCAAATGGATTGGGTCGATTTAAATCACTAGCCCAATTAAATTTAAGTCTAATAATGTTCATAAAATTCCAAAGGCCCAGATCACATTTTAAATAAATAAACAAACAAATAAAATAAACAAACAAAATAAATAAAATCATAATTACTCAATTATCTCTTTTAATTAAATATAATTGGGTAATTACCAAAATTAGCACAAATTTTCTCCTATAAATAGGACCAATGGTCCATAAAAGAAGGGAGGGCTGAAGACGAAGCAAGAAAGAAAGCAGAGAACGCCACGAAATATTGAAGAAATTCCAAGGCCGAAAGAAGGGAATAAATCCTCTCAAACTTAAGCTTGGTGAACCCCAAAAAGATTAAAATCTTTTTCGAATCAAACAGGTTCATATCAAGTACAAGAATATCAAAGTCTTCTTCAAATCAAATCAAATTTGAGTTCAAGTCCAAGTCTCAAGATTGAAGTTTCAAACAAGTCAAATATCGACAAATCAATTTTTCAACAAATTCTCGACGATCGGGATTCAAATCACGTGGCCCCTCGTCTTCAAATATTCAAATCATTAATCAGAGGATTTTTGTAATTTTGTAATTATGAGAAGGTCAACGTCACTTGTAAATTCAAAATATAATTTGTAAAGATTTATGTATTTTAATATACGAAACTTCGTTGTACAACTATAATTTAAATCAATCAATTGTAATTATATATAATTATGCATATATAGACGTAAGTAATTGTAGTAATACTGTATTTGAAAACAGTTAACCATAATTATATATAATTATACATACATAGATGCACGTAATTATGGTAACAATATGATTTAAATCAATCGATCGTAATTATATATATTTTTTTAAAGTAATTATAATGCATTTTATATCCTAATCCAATTTATATTTAGTATATAGTATGAGATTATACATAATAACATAATAAATCAAATTTTACCGTTTTGATTTTGAATTAACCCTAGTTTGGTGAGGATTAAAATCATATTGTTAGTAAATATTGATAAACATTGATGAGAAATATGATTGAGAAGCAATAAATATCAAGAAATGTATGATTAAAATTAATTATTAATTTTAAATTAACTCAAACAGGGCTTAGTATTGTCCGATAAATCAGACCGCAGATGCCATCAAAAGTCGGATAGCTAGTGGTGCATTCGAAAGGGCAAATATTTTCAAGAGGCATGAAATATCTTAATGAAGCGTGCACACTATCTCCATCAAAATTTCGAAAATTGACAATTTGGTTGGTATTGAAATGTTTGGAAGTGGGTCCACGTCTAAGTGCCCATTAATATTAAAACATGGACACCAAGAGCGGCTCCCTGTTGTGAAATCAAATTTTACACGTGTTATCATATAAATTGTATTTTAGTACAAATACTATCGAATAAGATCAGAAACTTTCTGGATAATTATTGGGTCGATACTTGATAAAATTGACTAGACAAATGGGTTTCTTCATTCTTTTTTAATATAAGTCAAAATTACATTAGGAATAAATTATAACTTTCTCGAATCATAGAGTTAGCTAACAGATCTCTAGTTAAAAATGATAAAATTTTCGTAATTTTAACTTGTCTTATATCTTTTTCCTTTCGATAGTGAGCAAGGCGAAAATGACGAATATAGTCTTGGCTTCATTTTTTTTTTTTTTTAATTAAAGACTCTCTTATTCATTCGTTATCTCTATCTCCCTGTCTTGCTTGGTTCTTTACAAGAAGAACCCCATTTAAAACCATGACTTTTTAGTTTCTTTATCGTTTGACATCACTTGGAAATTAAAAAATGAATGGATGGGAAAATGTGTGTTATTTTAAAACTGATCATTCATGCTACGACATATGGTACAATGTCAAACTTGATATCAAATAAAATGTACATTTAGCATGATTGACTTTTAAATAAAGTTATAGTATCATTAAGGTCAAACCCTAACCTTGAGGGCCCCTCACCGTCCGTCCCTAGAGTTTTGTGAGGGAAGTAAATCGCGGGATGTGTCCCAACAGGCCAGGAAATAAGAGCTACCTATACATTGCGCCTACAAGAAGTCCAATTTCATGTTTCAGAAATTAAACCCCCACACTGCGGATGCCAGTAAGGCGTGAGATAACCTCACTCCTGCCCTTTGCACCATTAGGCTATGCCCCAGAGGGCAAAAAGTTATAGTATCATTTACTACTGAATATGTCGTTAAAGTGATCACCGAAGATTCTTTCAACTATAATGAAATATTACTCCTTCAATCCTACAAAAATAGACTTATTTCTATTTTCATACATGTTAAATAATGCAATGAATAAATTTGGAAAAATAAATGTTTCGTATTTTTTTCTAATATACCAATGCATTAAATAATGACTTAAATAGGAGCAATTTATGTTTAATGATAACAAAACACATTAAATAGGGGCATATAAAAAAAATTAAAAAATAACTTTATTTTCAACAAGGAAAGTGACTTATAATTTAGAACAAATGAAAAAGGAAAGTAAACATTTTTATGGAACGAATAGAGTAATAACTGTGGACACGTTGGAATCTGAAAAATCTCCTTGTAGGAATAATAGAATTGAATAGTTTTCATTCACGTGCTTATCTTTGGAGAACATATTCTTCTATATTTTGAGAAGTGGGTGACTGGGTGCCTATTTTTATTTTATTTTTTATTTATTCGAAAGAGGATCTTTTACAGTTGGAGAATAGACAATATATACTCAAGAGACAAGGCAATGATTCATACAAAAAGAACAATTTGTGCCAGAATTTTTTCCCTAAAATGGGCTGAGTTCCTGGCTTTTGGCATCACAAATAAGTTTAGTAAATTAATTGAAAAATCTATCCCAATTTATACTTATTAGTGCGGATTTAAACCATAATATAATTTGGTGTTGAATCACTTCATCAAGTTTAACATGATTTCAGAGCAACTAAAATCAATTATTCAAGACTCGTCACTATCTACGTATGAAAATTTATTGTCAGTTTTTTAACAGAAAATGTGAAGAGTGCGTTGAAAACTAAATTTTAACAAATCAACATATTCGATTTCTTTCAACTTAAGCTTTAAGGAGGAGTTGATTTAACATAGTACCAAAACTTTATAATATCAAGTCTCACCTTTACCTTAAAGTTGCACGCATATCAAATATTCGAATTACGAGTGTTTTCAAGACTTTACATTTCTCATTTGATGTTACCAAAA